TAAATATATATAAATGTATAATGTTATGAGATTTAAGCTATTTACTCTAAACATTTATGTTTTCATGATGTAATTTGTTGTCATTCTAGAAGGAAAGAGGCATAATATATATTTATTTCCTAACTTTTTTATGGTTATAAGATCAGTCAAATATAGCGAACCTATATAGAGATTTGTTACTGAAAATAACAGATAAAATATAAAGTGTTTTTCTTAAGAAATGTCTGTTAACTATCTGGACATTATAAAGATTTCGTATGTGAAATTTGAAAATTTTCTGATGCACAAAAGTATTTTTAATCTTAAAGTGAAAATTACTTTGCATGTTGGATAGGCAACATGCAAAAATATAAAAACGGCATGAGAAAAATATTGCTTAACACATCTTAAGACTTAATTTTAAAAAATTGATATTTTGCATATGAAAGCATTCCAATGTTTACTGATAATCTGCCAAATTTCATTAACATACACTACTAATTTAAAAGTTATAGCATGAAAACTATAACATCCACAAAATGGTTATGAGGCTGGTCCCAGGGAGTGAGCCCGTGCTGAAAGAGTAAAAGTATGCATTCAGGAGAAAATCTATACCCAATCTACCCAAAATGCTTCTGTTTTCTGGAAGGTTGCCCAAATTGCCTCGAAAGGAAAATCACCCAAATTAATAATACATATAAAAATGGATACTCCCTTTGAAACTATGTCACCTCAGTGAATTTGGTTGACATCATTGTTTTGGGTTTTGAGTTATTGTGTAATGAAAAAGAACAAGAAATTCAAACACTTTGCTTTGATATTTACAGACATTCTCAGAACTTGTGACTTATTCATTACATAAATATTATTATAACAGGAAAAACTGTATAGTATTGTAAAGTTCTAAGGACCTGTTGAGGAGATATTTAAATTACTATTTCGATGAACAATTCAAGCAATCCCCACATAGGCACTGCTACCACCTGATACACTAAGATACTGTTGAAACATAGTTTATTTTCTACAATAAAAAATTACTGGTCTCTCTTATTGGTGATTCGTAATATATCAATGTGCTTAGTGCTTACCTATGCAAGTAGCAACTATATATATATATTTCAAAACTATGAGTTGTACTAATTCACTTTACCGCTATGAGGTCAGTCGAATTAACCAAGTTTGTAACCATTTTGAACTCATTATAGTTTGCATAATATAAATTTTAATATAATGTGTGTATCTTCACAAAATTTGGTAGATTTTAAGTTTTAGTAAACGTTGCAAGTCTTTTGTGCACAAAAAAAAATTGGATTTTTTAATAAAGTATTTTTACAAAAGATTTGTCTATGAATATATCGAGTCTTTTTTTTTTTTACTTGTTGGAGTGCAAAGTGATTTTCATGTTAAGATTAAAGCTACTTTTCTTTGTCTCAAAAATCTCAAATTTTATTTATGTAATCTCTAAAACCTCGTAAATAAATTTCAAACGTCTTTCTTTTCACTAAAACTTTATATTTTGTTATTTCTTTCTATCCTAACTGTTTGCAAGGTTCGTCAATTTGACCAACCTCATAACCCCAAAGAAAATTTGAAATAAATCTAAAATACCCTTTTTTTCTTTCTATGACTTCAAATTGTAAGGTGAAACTGCATTTGTTTATCCTTAATAGCTTTAAATCTCTTAACAACATATGTCTATTTATATTTTATTGTTTTATTGCCCTTTAAATTGTGTCTAACTAATCTTTGTGCCATATAAGTTGTAAATCTTGTGATGAATGTTCATCTCACGTTATGGTATCAAATTACATAACACATGACCCACTCACAAGCATACCCCATACAAAATTATTATTTATTTTACGTTGTCTAAAAAGTTTCCAATTTGTACAAGAATAAGTTAAGAATACACATCAAAAACAAGAAATAAAGTACTTATCTGGGCCTTCTTTTTTTATGCCTTTGACTGTTGATGTCACTTAACCCTACTTTTCTTATGCTACACCTAAGAACATAGAATAATCACATGCAAAAAGCAGACAGTGTCCCATAACTCACAATTCTTCTGGCTTTCTAATTATGTGACAAGAGCTGCTAAAAATTCAGTTAAGCTCATCGATATGATTCCTGTGAGAATAAAGCTTGAACTGAAAGCATGATTGAGAATTCTCTGTACATAAACAATGTAATATAATACATCATTTGGTAGATTAAAATCTTGGCTTTCTGTTAATTATAAATAGTAGTATTAAATGTTGGAGAGATCTGCATCATGACTGCACCATGTTTTGAAACAATGTTAAAAAATATTCAGTGATATCCAAATTTCCCACCCTTTCCACTGTGGCAGATGTGATTTGATTTTGGTGGCTGCTTCTATTAACAATAATTTGGATATTTGCTTTCTTTCAGTCAGCATTATGTGGTACTTGCCAGTGTGTGCAAACATGTTCTGTGATGAAGGTGATCAAAAGCAGAAATTATGCTCACTTTATGGACACGAACTTGAGTGGTCTGATGATATTGACGACCACTAACCTGCAATCAGACATCAACAAGTTAGTTTTTGGTCTTCAGCTGCAGTAGATTCATGGATTAAAGTTGTGTGAATTGGCATACATAGTATCTTTGTAACTGTTTTTAACAGTCTAACATTTTAAATTTGCATGTTTACTTTAAACTTTTAGTGATTTGTAGTCCTTATTGATCTATAATAAATTTCTTTATGAGTCGGTTGACTGGTGATCCTTAATGGTTGTAAAAATGATATTTATAGCCAAAAACATTAGAGGCACTGCTCTAGAGTACTTGGATATAAAATTGTCAGCTAGTTTCACTTGCACAACAAATGAACTGCAGTACTGTGGCAAAACCATCAAGTGCTGACCATACCGAGCCTGAGAACTGCACCTGTGCACATTAATAAGATTATTCTTGTGGACTAAACAAGAAAAATGTCTTAAGCCAAGTAACTAGTCAGGGCCACTGTACTGCATCTGAGAGTAAATGTACAACTTTCAGAGCAGCTGATTCTATATGAGGATTATGCTAACAGTCTTGATTTGAACAGACATAGATTCAGTAATCTATTTTTGGGATCAGAAGGCCAAATGGATTGGGCAACAACCACACATAATCGTGTAGACATAGGTGATGCACATCTAATAAAATAGCTGCTGTGTAAGATTCCTTAGAGAAAAAACCACTGAACTCAGTGGATTATTTTATATAACGTTTGAATAATGTTTTGTCATATGAAGAGTTGATTGTCAGAAAGAAGGAAGAAACCCTAAGGTCCTAGTGCACATAAGAAAGTTGTAACTGTAACACTCATTGGGGCCTTTCTACTACCATGTATGGACAAATGTCTGCAAATTTCACATTGATCAATTACACTAGACCTGGCTTCTAGATACTGGCATGTCAAACTGGATGATGAAAATAGTCCTTTGAGTACTTTCAGCACTTGGGAATGACTGTATTTACATCATGCCATACGATTTGAGTAACACACCTGCAACTTTCTAGGGGCATATGGAGATCACTCTTGTAGGCTAAACCAGAAAGATGTCTTATCTTTGTGGATCATGTATTATTCTTTGTTTGAATGTTTCAGGCCACTACTCAAAATCTGATATTAGTATTTTAGTACATAAAAGGTGCAGATTTGAAATTAAAATACACATTCACATTTGCA